CAGATTCAGCTTTGAGGCCTCAACCAAGAGAAACATCCAGCCCCGCTGTGTACAGCAGTGACCACAACAAAGATTGTGGTTTCTCCCACACTCGCCTTAAATAGATCTAAATTAATGCTATTCATCATTGGGTGGAAAAGAAGGGAAATATAAAAGTGCAGGCGCTTGTAGGCAAGCCAAGAGCGTTGGGTAACTGGCTTAGCAGCGCGCGAGCCCCACGGCGCGTCCGCGCCGGCCTCCGCACTGCCCCCGCGCAGCGCCCTCGCCAGTCCCGCCGGCACCCGGGACGCCCTTGGGGCATTCGGYGCCTCTTTCCGAGGGTTCATTTGCTGGCGCCGGGTCCCACGCAAGCCAAGCGCGGCCGCCGGGGAGCTATCGCGCTGGCCACGCGGGGCGCGCGCTCGGCACGGCCGCCTGCGCACGGCGATAGCGGCGGTGCCGCCGGCTCCGCGGGCCCCCTCGCTCAGAAACGCAGGCTYCTCGCGATGGCTTTTAGCAAGCCTGAAGCAAAGCAAAACGCGGCTTCTCGAGGTATTCCTCGAGGGCAAAAATACCACAAGGCAACTTCGTTTCACTTTCATTTTTTTTCCCTAGCTATAAAAGTGTCACAGTGGCAAAAATTAACTGGGGAACCAGCCTCTGAAACCTCAAACCTTTAAAAACTTATTTGAACACGGAACTTTTCTACTTCCCTTGGATGCACGGARAGAGACCTGTGCACAGAAAGCCTATAAAATAACTGCTGCAAAGCTGCACGGGTGCTTTTTGGATGAGAATAAGTGCAAGCTGCACGTCCTGCAGAAATGCATGGGGCCTGTGCACATCCCAGTCCACAAGTACAACTTTATAAAGACTGTTTGTCATGAATGCTGCAAGAGTTCTGCGTTGGAAGTAGGTTTTCAAATGCATTACAAAAGGAGGAAATGTCACGGCTGTTTTAAAAGTCCTCAGATGTGTGCAAAAGTGACATACATGTTATGTATTATCTTCCCAGAACAAACACCATTTGAAACGTGCCCCTTTTTAACTACCCTCATGAGCTGTCGAAAGAGCATTTTGGTTGAAACTTGGGAGGAAGGGGGGGAAAAAAAGGGAAAAAAAAAGAAAAAGAAAAAAAACCCTACTGATCTTACACCTGCTCTTTAGCAGTGGGAAGTGGGTTCTCAATCTGTTAACATGACCATCTGGCCAATCTGCATATCACGGCTCTCCGGATCACTGTACGAAGGAATGACAATACCGCAGCCAAAACAAAAGTAAAACGCATCAAAAAACTAACAGCGGTGCCGCTCTTTTGATTTAAATTAAATAATAAATGCGGTATCACAGCAAAGCAAGGAAGCCATCTAAATAATTAAAACCAAGCCTCCGCCGCGGCATAATTAAGTAAACAATATGGTGCGCGCGCGAGCGGCGAGAGTTTGCAGGGGCGGCCGCCGCACTTTGCGCKGGGGCCGGGGAGGCTGCGGCGGCGCCGGACGCCGCTCGCCCGGCCGCTCCACGCGGCCCCGGTAAGGGGATTAATGCGGCGCGGGAAGGAGCGCGCGAGGAGGCTGCGGCGCAGCCCCGCTCCGCGCTCTCCCAACCGGCACCTCTTTGTGGTGGCCCGGGGATCAATATTTTAAGCCCCTCAACGGGGGTGGAAAACGGGTCTGCTTGAAGTTCAAGGCTGGGCACTATCTACTGCTACCCAGTCCACCCACAGCAGAACGCATTTAAAGGCTAAGTGAATTTTCAGGGCTGCAGGAACAAGGCCAGCTTCTTGCATCAACTTTGGCTTTGACTTTAAATATTAGCAGAATCCGAAAAGAAAAAAGAAAAAAAAGCTCATTTAAATAAAAAGCCACTCCGCGATTTTAGTGAAACATAGTGTTTTTCAACGCCTTCCTGCAAGATTAAAAGGTTTTGCGCCTCAAAAACGGCTTAATTCTGGCGCCGGGCGCGTAGCGGCTCCGCGGCCGGCGCGCGCCGCTGCTTTGTGCGCCCGAGCAGCCCCTAAAGAGCGCGACCTCGCGCAAAATTTAACCACCTCAATTGCAGATCTTTGGGACAATCCGATCACATTAGCCCAAGGAGCTCCAAAGCCGTAAAAACCTCCAGAAGGTTCTCGGTTGAGTGCCTACTAATGAACAGAGGTTAACTTTATCTAAGAGGTCAAATGCCTGGTGGCTAAGGTTGTGACCTTAACAACTTAAACGGTGACCTTGCCACGTGCCTCCTATATTGTAGGTTCTGATACAGATCATCTGGGAAAGGGCCGGCCGTAAATTAGCTTTACTGTTAGCCTCCCACAAAGAGGACGCCTCGCCACCACCGTTTTTCCAAGTTGTCACTCGATACGAGCACGGAATAAGGGAAAGCTAAGGAGCAAACCCAAGTTTCGGGGTATGGGAACGCCGCCTGCTTTGAGTTAAGCAGAATATAAACTGCAAATTGAGAGCAATCCACCAAATTTCAAGGCTTTTTTTTTTTTTTTCCCCCCCCTTGGAGAGGGGGCAATCCCTAATTTGGAAAACATCGATGTTCTTTTCCTTCCTTTTATTTTTTATTTTCATTCTTAGGGAGGGGAAAAAAAAAAAAAAAGCCCAAAACTCCAAAGTGAAACACATTTGGTGCATTTGCCTCTTTTTGTTTGCCTTTTTCTGGCCATCGCTCTTGCAGGGAGCGATGGATTTGGGTGTAACTTGGTGGGAAGCAGCATTTAGAGTGGTGCACATGTGCCCGGCTCCGCACGACAGCGACTGCGAGGGGAAGCGAGCGGGCAGGCGCCGTGGCCGTCGCTCTTGTAGAGCACGGCAGCTCGTGCTGGGTGTCTTGAAAGAGAGTATTCCCGCCCCCAAAAAATCAGGAAAAGTGGAGGAAAAAAGCTGGGAAAGAAAAAAAAAATACAGCGGAGTGAGCACGGCGGGTGAAAAGGTCGCGATGGTTTTGGCACGTCCCTTGGAGCACGTTTCGGAGTCTGCGCCTCCTGCCAACACTGGCAACTTCTCAAAACTTTTAAGGAGGTAAAAACATTGTTTGGTGTTTGCAAATCCTCTGTCCCGCGGCAGATGCTTCCCCGGGCGCACGGCCCCGGCCGCGGTGGCCGTCCCGCGCGCCGCGCACAAAGGGCCCTCGACGCTCCCCGCCGCCGGGGCCCCGATGGCCGGCGCCTTGGCCAACGCGCGGAGCCACAGAGCCTGCCGGGATGCGGCTGGGAAAGGGCAGAAGGAGAGAAAACGCACAAAAGAATGGGGGGAAAAATAAAAAATAAGCCAAAGAGCCGGCGCCCCCGGCCACCGCGCACCCTGTGCGGACTCTGCTCCGGGACTACCACTTGCCTGGCAGGACCYCGTGTCCCTCCCAGCGCTCCTGTGGCCTGGGCGAAAACGGGGGCCTTGGCCACACTCTAGCACCTGTATTTGTTGCTTTTCTCCCCATTTCAGTGTGTAGGGCRAGAGCATCACTTCCTCCCAGCGAGCTCCACGCTTTGCTGGATTTTCACTCATTCTGAAAGGCAATACTCGTATTTATCGGCACGGCGCTGTAATTCCAAGGAATGGAAAAAAGGCAGCATGCTCTACAGCSGGAGCCGTCCATTTTCCAGAGGTTTATACGGAACAGGCGGCCCTGCTGTGTGGAACAGGGGGGGAAACTGAGGCAGGGCGCAGGGCCGGGCCCCTCCGCGCGGCCGCGAATCRGTAATCCTCGTCCCGCCGTGCCACGTAATAAATCGCAGAGTAAATAAAGCGCTTTCCGCAATATTTGCCCACATTCCCTCCACCAGAAATGTGCAAAATGATTTACCGCATCACACCCAATTGCAAAGTAAATTTCCTGGCTTATCTAGCTAAAATACCACAACGGTATCCGAAAGCCCTTTCTAAACACAGGCTGTATCAATAAAATTACAGCGGTGGCACCGCGCGTCGCAATAAAACACGYCGCGGGTGCCGCGCCGAAAACTTGGGAGATCGTCAACGCTTGTGCCGAGACGCGGCCGAAACGCAGCCTCTGGGGCCAGGATTTGCTGAGGTTTCTTGCGTGGCTGCAGAATTGGGTTTTCCAGCCACAATCACTGCGTCTTCCCTGTGCTCCTCTGCTTTTCCGCCCCATGCAAGCCCCGGAGCTGCGCGCGGGACGCGGTGCCCACTGGCGCGGCTGCGGGGCCRGGGCTTCCCGCGCCCCCTTCCCTCGCCCCACGGCCGCTCCGACGCGCTACAATAGTGCTTTATTTCAGCCGGGCGGCCTATTACGGATCCTCGGCCTATCCTGCACTTTAATATCCACAGGCTGGGGGGGCTCTGTGCTGAAGTCGGAGATCCCAAGATTTTCAATTTCAGCACATTAAAAAAAAAAAAACCCTCCCATTTTTACCCCTCCCCACCTCCAATAAGCACAATTTTAGCAGACGGGGAATTGGCTCGGGTTCCACGCAGATACATGGGGGCGTTCAGGGCTTGCTGTCAACGCTGTCCCCTTCCCTTTCTCGACACAACTGCACAATTATTCCCTTTGGCAGCTTTGGGATGTGGCTGCCCGTGGCAGGGAACCTTTTCCCTTTGCTCCGGGCCCCATCCCGTACGCTCCCTGCTCCCGGGGCATCGAGGGGAGGGAAGATACTGGGTTTTCCCAGTAGCTGTGCCTGAAACCTCGGCTATGCCAAGCTCCCTCACACTACTCAGTACATCAGAGACACACTGAATCTATTTAAAATAAAATTTAAAAAAAATGTGTTTATGTGTGTGCATATATACATATACTTATTATACATTTATTACACATATGTATATAAAAAAAATAATTAAGAGAGGTCTCATTGTACTAAGGCTTGGCTACCTCCTGTGGAAATATCCGTGTATGAGAAGGCTGCCCCAAAACCCCCAATTTCCTTTAACCCCGGGGAAAATAAACGGCCTTTTAACCGCATCGGCCACGCGCGCCCTCCCGGCTCGGCGGGAAGGAGCCCCGATCCCGGAGACGAACAGAAAGGTGGAGAAACGGTGGAGAAAGGCACTTACCTGCGGCGTGCACAAAGTATGCCAAATATAAATCGAGTTCCTTAACAGAAACTCCTATATGGTGCGGCTGTACGCACAGCCCGGGGTTAGAGCACTGTGGGGACTTTACAAGGCGCTCGCCATCAGTACTTTCGAGCGGAATACCTTTAAATAAAATCACCATAACAAGGTCCAACCTCCAGACCTTGTCTGCCTGGCGGAGGCAGTCAATTCTTCTCATCTTGCCCTTCTGGTCTGGATTGGAAAGAACGCAACACGGAGGCTTTTTTCCTGTGACTGTGAGAACAAAATCCTCCCGAAACTCAGGCCTGATATCTTTCCGCAGCTTGGCCAGAAGTCTGGACGCCCATTTTTGCTTTACCTCGGGTTTTTCACTTAGCAGTTCGTCCTTCACGGCTCTCTCTTCCTCTTTTGACATACGTTTCTCATGTTTTTTGAAGTATTTTCGTTTTCGGGCTTGCAGGTTGAACCATGTGTAGGCAAACGCTCGGACGTGAGGCAGAAGTGCTTCAATGAAGGGATGAAATTCATCCTGAAAAAAAGGCACAGAGAGCGGTCGGTCTCACCGAAAGCACCACTTGAGCACAGGCCCGGTCATGAAAACRGGGCAAAAAGCGGGAGAATTGGGCCCTGGTGCCACCTGCCCACCCCAYGCCCGCCCCGGCTGAGCACCGATGTGTAAAACAGGGAGATTTTGTAACTGTTGGGCCTTTTTGCAGAACTTCTGCGTTATTGTTTTTGTAAAAGCCGAAGAAGGAGTTAAGCGGCCGCGCGCAGGCCTGGCCGCCGGCTCCCGACCCCGCCGCCAATTTGGCAGAGCCGCGCGGCCCGTGCGCCAGCCGGGCTCCCGCCGCGGGACRCGGGCACCGACGCACCGGGATACAGGGATACGGGGAAGGCGGGAGGCGAGAGCTGCTCCGGGATGCCCGGCCGCCACCAAGGTGAAAAGTGGCGGAAAATGCAAACCCCGCAAGTTTGTTTTATTATCAAGTTTGGTTTATATTTAGTTAATTTTTTTCGGATGGGATATTTGGAATCGCGCTACGGCGAGGCGCGCTGGGCCTTCCTCTCAAGCGGCAGGACGGCGCGCTGGCCGCGGACTTTAGCACTCCTTGCGCAAACACGCGGGAAATAACTTTTTGTTTTGCCTTTTTCCCCTATATTTTGCCACATCCCGGCGTGTCCAAAAGGCGACGCCRGGCTCGCGGGACGGTCGGGCCAGGCGGAACCTGGCTCGCTCCGACTCGCGGTGCTTCGGGCTCGCCCCTCCGCCCGGGACAAAAATACCCACAACGTGAACCACTCTGGCACAACAAAATAGAACAGAATAAAATAAACAAAATGCAAGCAGGACAACCCTGCTGCGGGGGAAAAAAAAAAATAAGGTATAGATTGAGAAGGAGCTGCTGGAGCACAAGGACCAGGCTGCCGAAATGAATGACGGAGGAGCCGGTGTCGCACGGGCCTCCTGCCTGGGTGCCTCTGGGACTGGGATTGGGCCCTCCAGGAGGGAAAAATAACAGAAACTTAATATATATAATGGTGTGCCCGGGGCCCCAGCGCGCTGGCAGCCGCCCCGGCAGCACTCTGGGCATYGGCCCTCGCAGGACGGGGCCGCCGCGAGAGCCCAGCGGACCTGGCTCTGCAAACGCTGCCCGGCCCCTCGGCTTCTTGCTTTCTGTTCCAAAAAATGAGGGGAAAATCGAGAAATCAGTAACTGAAGTCCCTATCAGCGAAAGCCCTTCATAACTCCAGTCCGTGCACCGACTTCCCCAAAGGTTTGATTTCAGTTATTCCGAGCTGCTCTTAAACCGTAAACACAGCGATTTATAGCTAATATTACAGGATGCATTTTTATTTTAAACACAGAGTGTTAGAAACGACCCCAAAAATGACACATTACACGTCGTTATGGCACAGCAGAGCAGCAGCAAGCAAAAGCACGACTGATTATTAMAATACAAACGCGTAAAATAAATCACTCCAGTGATTGACACATTCCCTCTTCTTTTCCCCCTTTTCCTCTAGACCACAGTTTCAAATTTCAGCAAAGTTTTTTTTWWAAAAAAAGAMGGGAGAAAAGGCAGAGGGAACATTGGAGCGCGTGCGGAGCCGGCGGGRGTAGAGCGCGCAGCTCCTGCCAACACGGAGAACGGCTTTTGTGGGGGGGAGGAATAAAAGGGAAAGATCAAAACTGCAGGTCACCGCACGCTATTAAACATTATGGGAGCCTGTGATCCCCCCTGTCCTGCCCCTCCTGCGGAGGAGCGAGGAGAAAAGGCCTTTTGTGGAGGCAAAGCCGGTGCGCGGAGGTGCCCACGGAGCCCGGAGCGCCGCGGTCCCGCGCGCGGCGCCGGCACCTGGGGCTGCCCCGCTGCCCGGGACRCCGCCGACAGGGCCGCTCAGCGGCACCGAGACGCTGCCACAGCGCCAACCTGGCCAAACAGCGCGCCAAAAACACGCTAAAAACTTTAAAAAATAATAAAACTCGCGGGGGGGAAATTASAGGCTTTTTGCTCTGAAGTCGGGCAGTGATTTGGAGCAGCTCCCCGCGTGGAGCGGATTAGAAGCCGCGGAGCCGCTTGGAGAGGTGCGCGCGGATGCCCTGGGCTCCGTGTCCTCAAAATGGAGCGCGGCGAGAAGAGGTTAATGACTCACGAGCCGAGCAAGTGCGGGGCCGGCCCCGAGCCCTGCGGAAAGGCGCCCGGCCGCGCCGCCGCCGCAAGTTGCGAGCGAAGTCGCGGTGGAAATAAAAGCAGCCCGCGCTGATCAAACGCGGCGGGCCGGCCGCGGCGGGGGGCCGCAGCGCTGCACAATGCCATTATTTAGTTCGGTGTTATTACTGCCAAAAGAAGAAGCAAAAAAAAAGGAAAAAAAAAAAAAAAAAAAAAGGAAAAAGAAAGGAATACGAAAGTTTTGGGGATGCGCCCGTGCGGGCGCGTTTGCAGATGTGCAGGCGGCTGCGCAGCCCCGCAGGAACGCGCTGGTTTTCAGGCACTTGTGGCGAAGGCGACGGTCGCTGCCTTCCCTCAAGTTGGCTTGGGGAAACTTTGGGAGCCTCCTTTGGTACAGGCRTTCGCTTGCGCCCCTCGGCCTGGAAACCCTCTCGGCCCGAAGCTGCTCCGGGTAGTGCGAAAACTTAGTTTTTACCATTAGACTCCGCAAACTTTGTGGATTTGGCTGTGCAGAGAAGAGGAGCCCGTTCCAAGCCGAAAATTCGGGCGGCGGGATTCTTTGGAGCCAGACTCCAAATCTCAGGCGCTCTTCCCCAAGTCGCCAAAAAACTAGGCCAGAAGAACCCTGCGATCACGACCCCAGCTCAGAGAAATAATGTAACACCCAAAGGAGCCCTTTGGAAACAATATATTGGTGCTGATCTTCCCGGGATCCCGCCTGTTCCGGCGCCCCTTGTTAATATTTTTACAATCCGTTTGCTTGTAAACGTGCAGGGAGCGGCAGGCTCGTGGCCGGCTCGTCCCGCTGCCGGCGCCCATGGCGCGGGAAGGATGTTTATGTTTTCCTGACAGCCGATACGGAGCGCTCACGCCGCCGCCGCAGCGCCGCGACACAGACGCTCGGCACCGTGATTGCTGCTCGCTCTGCTTTGCCCGGCCACTTTTCCAAAGCTTGCCCCTTTAAAGGCAAGCCCAAACTTTAAAATAAAAAAAATTTAAAAAATTTAAAAATAAAGTGAAAAAAAAAAAAAAAGAAGGAAAACCAAAACACCTTTGTCCCCAAAGTTGCAGCAGCGAAAGTGGCTGTAAATTCTGAGCTGGGGAACGAGATGCGGCGGGTGCGGGATGCCCGGAGGCCTCGGCGCTGCCGGGACCTTCCCGAACGGGCCGCGCTGGATCCGCGCATTGTATGTGTGGAACGGGGGGAGCCCCGCGGCTCCTTTGGGGCAGACCCAGAAGTCGGTGCTTTAAGTTTTTTTTTTTTTTTTTTTTTTTTTTTTTGAGGGGGGGTATCGGTCCGCGAGGCCGCGGGCCGGGCAGCGCTGCGCGGCTGCGGAGGGCGGCAGCAGACGGGGCGCCGGGGGGTAAAACTGCACCAGGCAGCGGGCGGAGCGGCGGCCGCGCAGGAAGCGGGCTGGGGTTTGCGCCCGCCGCAAAGTGCTTCCGACCGAAACCCGCGGCTCCCGCTGCGCGGGGGCGCAGCCGCCGCGCCCGGCCCGGCCCGCGGCGGGAGCCGCAAAGTTGC